CACAAGACCAGACACAAGACCAGACACAAGACCAGACACAAGACCAGTCACAAGACCACTCACAAGACCAGACACAAGACCAGTCACAAGACCACTCACAAGACCAGGTACAAGACCAGTCACAAGACCAGACACAAGACCAGTCACAAGGCCAAAGTCGCACGACCAATCACAAGTAACAGGGTGATCAGTAATAAAGGAATGCTTTTGTCGCAGTTCATTTGAATAGCTTGTGACTTGAATTCAGACTGGAGATTTTGTGTTGGTCTTGCGAAGGTCTTAAGTGGTCTTGACTACGACACTGGTAATGTTACATTCGTCATATTTTTTTCTTTTTGGCATTGTTGCATTTATTCTTAGAAAGACCCTACTTGATGTCCAGGTTATTGCAGGCTTATGTTACATTTGTCAGCCAAGACGTTTCATATCGGTGTAATTCCAGAAATTGTGCCCCTGTCACATCCGACATATGATTTTGTAAGTTCAGAACACATTTTCTAATTTCCAAAAGTGAGGAATTAATGCAAATCACCTGCCAAACAAATACTAATAGTTTGAAATCAATTTCGGTGAGATTTCCATGTCAAATGACAAAGGTCAGATGTAACAGGGACACAAAACTGTCACACTCTTGGACCTGATTTCTGGAACTACCCATAATGCTTCTACATTTTTTTGGGGGGGAGTAGATTTTGAATAAAATACTGTTTATCTTATTACCTGTACTTCCAAATGTCTTTCAATTGCAGAACTGCACAGAGCCGCTGACCTTTGACCCAGACACCTGTCCCAGTGTCTGTGACAGTCTGGTCACCTGCGAGGCCTGCATCGTCTGGGGGACAGGGGCCGTGACCTCTGACCCCACTGGTGCCAGGGTCAATGAGCAGTGCGGCTGGTGCGTCCAGGAGCAAGAGTGTTACCCACTGGGAGGTACTACTTACAATATTGAGAAGCATACATTTAGCCAAATTTCCCAAATGGTTTGCATAAATTTGCATATATTTTGCTCAATTTTGCATATTGCATATTTTGCGTGTTGATATTTGACAAATATGAACATAACACTGTAGACCAAGCATTCGAATAAATTTGTATAACTTTAACCTGTGCAGTCACAGAAATATTTTAATGAGTAAAGGTCTGTAGTCTTGATCTGACAAAGTTTGCATGGTTGAACTTCATGGCATCTTCCAAACTTGAAGTTCCCAAAAAGAATAAGTTTACCTTGCTTTCAATTTAACATGCCCTGGTCATGAATAAAGATCTAGCTACTCAGAGCTGACAAAGTCTGAGAGATTGCTGTGCATTTGGGTCCATCGCAAGTCAACCAGTCCTAAGCCAGGTCACAAGCCTGTGACGGGAGCATTCCTTTGTCATTGCTCAACCCTAACCCATGCTTGGTCTGGTGACCAGACTCCGTGATGGACTTATTTTTATGTGGGATTTTGAAAATGTTTCCCTCGAGTCTGTCACATGCCAGTTTTATAGCCTAACTGTGAAACCAGTGAACCCTACCAAAGGATTCCTTTGGTCATCGTCCCCTTTGTAACTTGTGGCGGATCTTTCAAAAGCACTTGCGACTGGCATTGTACAGAGACTTGTGATAGACTTTTATCACGATGCTGCCGTGTGTGTCTAGTTCCCCTTGGACCTATTAGCAATAGCAATACAACTTCATGTCTTGACGACAGGGAACAGACTTTTTCCTTCCAGCTTCAGCTTGATTGCTTTGCATGGAATGGTAGAAAAGTAAGATTGCTGCCCCATGATATAGGTCTACTGACCCAACCTCAGCAGCATGTTCCAATGTTTCCCTTTTGTACACTGCTTCTGCCTTGCAGAGCCGGGCGGAGCCTGTGGGGACCAGTCATCGCACTCCGACCCCTCGGGTTGGTGGGGTATAAACGGCACCTTCTTGGCGGAGTTTTCCCAGTGCCGGCTGCAGGACACACCCCCGGGGATCACCTGGATTAAGTACCGTCACCCGCAGAACACCAGCCAGCCAGACGAGGTACGAGCCGGAAATCTATGAGAATTAAACATTCGCTGAATACAATCAGCCTCCGTCTTTATGATTTGAAAAAAACAGTTTGTGGAAAAAATTCTTTGACACAGCTCCAGCGCCGATGTTTGATGACACAAGCACTTTTAATACAGGCCCAGCGTTCAGGCTAGTGGCGCCACCGTGTAAACTTTCGTTTACAGTATCGGTAGATGCCGTCGTTGACACCATGATCAGACCCTCTTTGCCCCTCGATTGGACTTCTTTTGCACAGAATTTACAGAAAAATGAAATACTTTAATAGTTTTTCTCCTTAATCAGATACTGACGACATGCGTTTGTGGAAACCGAGTTGATTGTGCAGTGGGCAGGTATTTGCAGCGCGCGTGCACCCTGACATCAGTTCCAGAGACCAAAATCGTTTTCATGAAGTGTATGGACACGGCGCTCGCATTTCAGTTCGGTGAAAACGGGGATGATGTGGTTTCCTGATAACCACCGCTTGTTTCCGACTTCCAGGTGACGATCGTCGAGACGACCGACCAGAACTTCAATTTCTACTACGTCAGCATCCAGCAGGAGAAGCTGAACGGTGGGTCGTACATCGCGGAGTACAAGGGCTTTCTGCGACCCAATGGCGCGGTGCCTACAGGGGGCGCCCTCCTGCAGGTCTGGATGGGCAGCTCCAACGCCATCTCCACGCTCCACCTCAGCCGCGACGAGCGACCAGAAAATGCTGTGAGTTAAAGCATCTTTGTTGTCACAAGGGAGCCTGTCACAAGACAGAGCTTTCCTCTAGCAACAGAATAATCACTTTTAAGCAGTGAAAATCCTTAGATATAACATCAATAATGTTAATGCTACATTTATATCCAACATAATACTACAGCGTACTTGATACGTGATCCATGGCTGGGTGTCTTAAAAGAGTTTGTTGTTGGGGAGAAAATTAGCTCTTAATTGTCGTAGTCTACTGCCTGCAACCGGCAGTGCGCCCTCACCCGCTCGACTCCTGCTGGTGAGGGCGCACTGCTGGTGATCACGAATTTAGTGAATGGAAGTAATGAGCCGCTTTCCAATACTCAACTTCGTCTCCGTCTTAAGCTTCGTCCCCGAAACCAATCCCCGATTGTGGGCCTGAAGCGTTTAAATCAAATTGGATTACTGTACGTTTTTGCTCTCTTGCATCTTATTTGATGTTTTGTGGCACTATTAGACTAATTAGTGCGCTTACAGCTTCAAAGTCAGGTGGTAAAAAAACAGTTGAAGCCTGAGACGGAGCCTAAGTTAAATATTGGAAAACGGCCATGGACTAAGAAATAATGCGTAGGTATTGGTAACCTGCCTAGGTGTGCAGGAGTAGACTCATCCCACTCTACGTGGGCGGAGCATTTGCAGCTTTGGGCTGGAGTTCGACTCATACAATCCTGGCTTCCAAAAATCGTCTTGCTTTTCTT